CTTCCCCGGTCTAATTCCCGGCGCCCCGGGCCGCACAGCTGTGCGCCACCTCCCCAACACAGCCGTCCGCCTGCTAGCGAGTGGGACGCGGTGCCGCTGCCGCTCCGCTGATCGTTACCTGCGACAGCCCCGTGACATGCCCTTATTGGACTGCTGAGCGAGTTTACATCACACCACCACTCCGACCCAACTCACCCAAGGTACAGGTCACCGCTGAAGTAATGTGGGGTTATACTGTAATCGAACAAAACCTAGCACCAATTATTAATGGTGAGGCCTATCATCAAAAGCGAGTATCGCACAGCTTCGTATTTCAGTTAGACAGGTTCCTCTAAGGTGTCACAATTCTATCTATCATAATATGCCCGCTATCATCGAAAAACGGGAATATCCACTTCTTCGGGGCACCCCGGAGTCCCGTCTCTGTGACCGCCACTGAGCAGCGAGTTGTAAACCTACGCATTGCGTACTACGACGTAGTAAGGAGACATTGCTGGACCCTCAAGTAGAGCGTAGCCATTGATAATCTGACAGGGGCGTCGACCGATAGGATCTCTCTCGACTTCCGAGAACGGTAGGGTCAGAGGTGGGGAGTGGTTGACCGCGGCCCGGGGCTACCGGCCAGCGCAGTGGGAGGGGCTCGGGTGGCGATTGGCTGACAGGGACACCAGCCGCAGGGCAAGTGAGCTTTGACCCCAGGTGCGCGGAGGGATGGAAGGCGGCTATTCCGGTTCCCCTTTTGGAACCGGAATAGCCGCCGAGCGCTTCACAACACGAGACCTCTGACTAGTGATGTAAATTTCTCAGAACTTAGCCCGCGCCGGGCCGGTGCTCCGCGACTTCCGCGCTGGGCCGGAGAGGGGGTGTCTGAACAACCCCCTTCTAACTCGGCTCCTGGGCCACGTAGCGACACGCGGTAAGCGGCATTCGAAAGAACGTCAAAAATAAAGATGAAAACACTTAGTTATTTTCTAGGCCAGGTCAACGGTCAGGTCACCAGAGGTCACCAAAGGTAATATGTTGGCTATTTCAACATTTTGGAAACTGCCAAGGACTAACTCGGGAACCGATAGAGCTACAGAGCCGCGGAAAAACGCAATCGATAGCTCTTTTACAGGCCTTTCTGCAAAGTGCTCTCCGATTGGACCTTAGGTTAACGGTTTAGCCTCCAGAGGGCAAAAACTTCAAAAATAGACGCTTTTTACGAAAAGTGTTTTTCGGCAATTACTTTTGACTCAACAGAGCCGAGACACGACTTTTTCCAGCATCGTGTTCCTCTTGCAGAGAAGCGTCGAATGAACTATAATTTGACCTTGAAAGGTCAACTTGAAAATTTGACCTCAGTCAAGGTCATGACCTGACCAGAAAAGGTCATGTTGCATAACAGTCGATCCGCATCGTCGAGCCGAACACATCTAAGGCGTTTTCATCGCTCTAGCATGCTTCTTTTAGAAGTTATTAGCGAAAAACTGTTAGATACCATTCTTGACCTGAGATGACCGCCAAGACATACCGAGGGGTCACAGGTGCCATTTTCCGGTTCAGTGTGTCTATTTTACCTGCATCCCGATGTCTGAGAGTGTCTAGAATGGTGTTCATGCAAAACAGACGTGTTTCAATTTTCTCCCATTGACTTAAATGGAGAGGCGGCAAAATTGACCTGACCATAGGTCACCGATACCAAAATTCCTAAATATACGTTTATAGATACTGTAACTCTTATCAATCGCTGGAAGTTTCAAGGCAATCGTTCAATCTGTGTAGCTACTAGCTAAGCTATGACGAGAATTCTATTTTTTCTGAGGTGAGGTCACTTGGCGTGACCTGGTGACCTGACCTTAAGTAACTTGGGTCTGAAATTTTCACAACATGTGCGGAATAGATGCACGAATAGGTGTGGCAAAAACGTCGGTCTGCGAAAAACCGCAGGGGGTGTTCAAACACCCCCCCCCCGGCCCGGCGCGGGTTAAACTGAAACAAAAATACATACCGACTTAATGCATGTAAAGTACTCAAACTATTAGGTCGACTATTCTTAATCCAATAACTTTTGATACCTAGTAAAGAAATTACGCATCATTAAACCTAACGTCCCGACAAAAAATTACTTCGAAGCTTCTTTTTTATGTTCCCATAAACCATGTGCTCAAACCCAGTTCTTCCAGCAGGGTGCTTGTTGACGAGCTATAGTTCTGTCTTTGACAGGCATTAACTAAACAAGTAATATACCGGGGCAAATCATCAGCCATGCCGGGCCTGAATTGCAAGATACGGCCCCGACTCCTGCGCAGAGAAATTTGTCCCTGCTCAGGAAACATAAAAGCTGACGGACAATTCGTGCTCGTAAATATTTAACCCTCGCCCGTATTGGTGTTTTTCCAGCCGCGAACGTATAAGGGGGGGGGGTCCGTTGGACCCCCCCCCTTGCCGTTTCGCCCCTGATCGAGCTAGAGCTTCGCGGAAAAAACGAGCGTGTTGCCCGTGACGAGAGGAAGCCGATGATACCCAATTTTAAGGTCCTAGGTCATTGGTTGACCTTGCAGGTCAGGTCAATGACCCCAAAGGCGGGAAAATCGGGACCTGTTAGAACGTCGTAAAGTGTGGCCGCAATGGGGTTTTTCAGGGTGCTGATCACGAATATCATGTTAGTTTTGATCACAGATGATGTCTTCATGTATTTAGGCCAGGTCAGGTCAGGTCAGGTCAGGTCAACCAGTAAGGGTATTCGTAGTAGGTGGCAAACGCCTCTGACAGCTTCGTAACATGTTACGAAGGCACCAAAACTACTTCGTAAATGTTCATATGGTTGCTAAATTCGAATTCAGCTCCAAAAACTGGCCTAGAAACATGTAAAACTTGAAAAAGTGAGCCGAGGTCATCAAAGGTCAATGACCTGACCTGACCTTCAGGTGACCTTGACACCCACCCTAATGCATGGGGGCAACATCATATCACATGTTTGAACGCTTGAAACCACGAAAAGACTGCAAACGCGCGGCTAATGCGAGCCGACATACGCCGAATCGCGATTCCAGCCAAACATGGTCGCGAAAAGTAGGTCACAGGTCAAAGGTCATTTGGGTCAGGATCATGAAATTTTCATGGTAGGTGTGAAATTGATGAACGCGAGGGTACTGAAAGTTTCGTCGCGATCGGCCGCTTTTTACGCGAGTTATTCGCGAAAAACCATGGGGGGGGGGGTCCGTTCGACCCCCCCTATACGGGCGAGGGTTAAGACGTCTTTTCATCGTGTGACATCACGCTGGTGCACATAGCTGAATCAGTATAACAACATGTATAACTCTCGCCGGACCTGCTGGTTTTCTACACACAACCTATCGGTCTAGGGGATGGGTGGGTGCGACCCCCTAGCTGTTTCGCCTCAAATTGAGCTAAATCTTCGAGGACAACGAGTTTGTGTACCGTTGCAATTTGCAACAGCTAATGCCTAATTTTAAGGTCTTAGGTCAGTCGGGGACCTCTGAGGTCAGGTCAAGTGCCCCTGGCCCCAAGGCAGTTTTTATTGCAAATAATTTTGTCAAAAATGACCAGAGAGCAGCGACTTTGACACCATTGTGTTCCTTATCCTAAGATGCGTCGAATGATAAACTTTCCAATTTGGCAGAGGTCAGCTAACGTTGTTGATCTTAAGTCAAGCTCAGGTCAAAGCCACACATGTCAGGAAAAAGGAGATCATGCTGCATATCGTTCGATTTGGTATATTTTTTTCATTCCATCATTGGTGGTTTTTCCTACTCGCTGGCCCAATTTGATCGTAACTGAGTTATTGACATAAACTCTGACGGCCTTAATGACGTCATATATGACGTCATGCAAAGTAAATAAGACAAAAGTTAAGCTACGGACCTTGCAAAGCGTGCATGAAATGACGAGTCTACGTGCTTCAGGTAGTCTTAGATCATTCCTGGCGCAAAAAGAAGCAGTTTTCATATTCACCCCATTGACTTACATGATGTATGTATAATGACGACGGTATAATGACGTATAATTAGTCATTACGTCATGTATAATGACGAGGTCACGTAACCGACCTGACTTCGAGTGAACCATATGCAAATCCACGATAATGTTGTGAGGGTATATTGAATTACTATTCGCCTATCTTTTAACTCCTGCGAAAGATGCCATGGCACCGAGGGCGTTGCAAAGTTCAGACATTTTAGGACCGTACGGAGACGAAATTATTAAGTGAGAAGAGGCCAGTGACCTGATCTGAATTGAATGTGCTGTGATTTCAAAAGACTCACAGTTTGAATGAAATGCAGGCATGTCAGCTTTCATGCTTTATCTTCAACGCGTTCCGAGCAATCGCAAGAAAGCCATTAGGTGTGTTGCTCAGCCCCCCCCCCCCCCACCCACACCCCTCTCGGTCGGGGAGGGATAAGTTCACATCATAAAAAAATAGCAACGGCCAATCAAAGAACAGCGCAGGAGCACCAACATCAACATGGCCGAGATGTATTATCGTTTACGAAAAAGACACAAAAGAACGTGCCCCTTGACTTACAAAGACTCAGCGCGAACCAATATGGAGCATATCATCCCCGGAAACGAATACCAATGCTTAGGTAATAGATGGTAATAGGTTATGCTCCTGTGGTCAGCTACGAATATGTGGACACTGACGCTACCGATGCTGCATAATCCAGGCAAAACACAGAAAAGGTTGAAAACAGCTGTGTTGCAGCATTTCCTGCAAAACCACTACCGCGAAAACTAGCAAAACATGCCATATTTTATACATATTTTAATCTAACGTTGAGCATTAACAAAAACACGACTGCTTTATCTACTGAAACAAGTAGAACACAAAAATGAGCAGCTCTGTGCGGCCAGCAACACATCAGTAAAACAAACATTATGTTAGTGCGCTATGCTCAACTCTCTGACCAACATGTAACGAAATCTTTCTGGTCTGCTTCTTAATAGTGTGACCAGCCTCCAGCGTTGTCGGCTACCTCCTGGAGCCGCTCCGGCATGGAGTCCGCCAGCCGTCTGCACAGGGCGGGGGTCACGCGGGCCCAGGCTTCCTGTATCAGCTCCCACAGCCGGTCCGTTGTGACGTGAGCTCCGTTCAGCGCAGGCGTGAGCTCCTCTGTCATAATACCCCATAGGTTTTCTGCGAAAGTAAAAGGGGAATGAATGCACGTGCACATCAATGTATGTAACAAGCTTGATAGGTAATAAAGCTTTCAGCACACGCACAATCACATACACTTATTTTGGTGTAAGTCACTCGTTACCTCACCTATGGGGTTCAAGTCAGGAGATCTCGCAGCCCACGGCAGCAGTTCCAGGCGCGGCTGACGCCCCATCCAGTCGCGAACCAGTCGTGCGGTATGCACCGGGGCGTTATCCTGCTGGAAAACTATGTGTGGTCTTCCCGGTCTCAGATGGTCATAGTCTGGCAGGAATTTGTGCTCCAGCAGATCCCGGTAGGAAGCAGCCGTGGTCGTCCCCGTCCGATATATGCCACCCCTGCCTTCGCCATCCATCCACGCCCATACGTGCACGGTACAGCGGCCACTCTGTTGACGCTGGCCAACATTTTGGGGTGCGTAGCGCGCAGCGTTGCCCTGCCGACTGTCGGATCAAGTAGGTAAATGCAGTTTAGCAGTGCGTAATTAACTATTGTAATTAACTATCTTGGGTAATAGCCATGTTGAAAAAAAATGTGAATGAGAACATTTTCGTCACTCGTTATGTCGCCCTTATTAACTAATGATTATTGAAACATAATTTGGGAATTTGATACTTTAATAAATCAACCTCATTTGCGTTAAAATTATGAATGTGAAATGCACTGCTTTTATCACGCGCACCGACGGGGGGCGGATATCGCCCCCCCCCCCCTGAGGTTTTTCGCAAATAGCGGGAAAACCGCGGCGCTTAGCACCGCAAAATTTCGTACGACTATTCTCCCATCAATTTTACACATGGTGTGCAAGTTTGAACCTCCTAACTTTTAAGGTCAGGTCACCAGGCCATTTTGAATGACCCAACCTCAAGCCACTTTTTTGCAACTTTGTCACCGTGCCAGAGCTACAGTAGATGTCGGAGGCCTTTGAAAGTCCCAGGATGTTATAAGGTCATCAGTAGCTACAATTTGTATATCTCGGATATCGGTGACCTAAGGTCAGGTCGATTTTTCGACCTACCCCCTATAAGTCAATGGGGGGAAGATCAACTCCCTGTTTTTACCACTAAAACGGGTCGGAATGGCCCCATATACCATACATGACTTCATATACCTTCACTACCTTGAGGTCTGTTTTGCTGTTGGGCAGCTGTAAGGTCATGTGACGTCATCAAAGGTCACCAGCGGTTTTTTGCCAATAACTCCGTACAGGAACAAGATACAAGATACAGCCGCGCGGATGGTCTCATTGTGTTAAGCTCGTCAAGACGCATCGAATGATATACATGATGACCTCGAGGTCACGTGAACTGAGGTCAACCTTTGACATTGCCCTTTCGAGGTCAACATATATCATTCGATGCGGATTGACGAGAGGATCACGATGATGCCCTTAGTTTGTTCCTATCTTGACTAATTCGAAAGTTATTCGAGAAAAAAAACTCTCCATATCTAGCGCCACCATTTTGACTTTTTTGACCCCTATGACGTCATCTTTGACCTGACCTGAAAATGACCTTCGTAAAAATTGTAGACCTTGTCCGTGCGTATCCGATGCCATTCACCGCTTGTCGCTATCTTGCTTCGTTCTCGAGATCTCAGGGGGGGGGGGCGGTCATCCGCCCCCCCCCCCCCCCCCCGTCGGTACTAAGTTGGCGCAGACCCCCGTCGGTGCGCGTGTTAAAGTTGATAAGCTCACCGATAGACTATCTGGCGACCGTGGCGATTAGTGCAAAAGGTTTTCTCATCAGAGAATACCACCGTTCTCCAGAAGGCTGTGTTCGGGTGAGCATCCAGCTGCTGCCGAGCGTAAGCAGCTCTAACCCTCTTGTTACCTTCACTCAGCAAGGATTTCGACGCCGCAACCCTGCCATACAGTCCTGCCTCGTGTAAACGTCTGCAAAAAGGATTGTTCTTTTTCAGTGTTTCACAAGCAGTCACAAGTGTTTCAGCGATTTTTTTTTTTTACAAATATACCCCATTAAACCCCCTAAGTATTGACCTAGTTACGAAATTTGCACAGTGGCGAGATTTTCTATGTGTCCGCCTACACTGTAAATTTGGTATTTCTAGGTGCCATAAAGCCAATTGCCAAGGGGGTCGTCCCCCCCCCTGCCGTCTGCGTTATGAAAAAGGCCGCCTTGGACTGGCGAGGGCTTGATATTTATAAAAGGGTGCTGTATATCCTGTATATTAACCTTATCTGGGTAAAATTACTCTTATAACACAAAAAAACGCATTGGTCTTGAGTCGTCCGTTTGAATTGAACAGCTATCGTAAAACTACGATAGCCCTCAATCATTAGTTAGAGTCACTAGACCGAACATCCACTCAACAGGTTTCTCCCTCTTGAACCCCGCTGAAAACCGAAAAGTGCCTTATATCAATGCCAATGTGCTGATAAAATGCAAAACCTTCCCGGCCGAGGGGGACTTCCGACTTGGTGCCACCCCTGACGGTTGTTTGCGTTGGTTCGGAGTGGATTACGTACAGAAAGAAAACTGACATTTACCATGCCCGAACTTTGATTAACCCGCGCCGTGCTGGGGGGGGGGGGGGGTTACGCCCACTCAGTTTTTTTTTTTCTCGAAAATATCTAAAAAAACGGCGGCGATGCGCGCCACCGTTTATGACACACCTGTTTATAAATATTTTCTGCACATTTTGTTAAAATTTTAGACCCGGGTCGTTCAAGGTCAGGTCACCAGGTCACGTCAAGTGACCTTACCCCATAAAAAGTTCAAATGCTCGCTATAGCTACACCGAATGAATGATCGCTTTGAAACTTTCAGGGATTGATACGGGTAACAGTATGTATAAAAAAAATTTATCTTGGAATTTCAATGTATGTGACCTAAGGTCAGGTGAATTTTGCGACCTCCCCATTATTAGTCAATGGGATAAAATTGAAATGCGCCTCGTTTCGACGGACGCCGTTCTAAACACTCTCAAACGTAGGGTTGTTGGTAAACATAACACACTGAATCGCAAAATTGCACCCGTGACCCCTCTTTGTGCCCCTGAGGTCATCTCAGGTCATCAAAGGTCCCCAGCAGTTTTTTTACTATAACCTTTTATAGAGACGTGCTAGAGCGGTCACAACACCTCAGCTGTGCTCAGCTCGACGATACGGATCGATTGATATGCAACATGACCTTTCCGGTCAGGTCATGACCTTGAACTGATGTCAGTTTTTTTTTCAAAGAACCTTTCAAGGTCAGATTATAGTTCATTCGACGCGTCTCGACGAGAAGAACATGATGCTGGCAAAATAAATGTCGTCACTTCCCTGAGTCAAAAGTTATTGCAGAAAAATATTTTTCTTCATAAAAACTGCTATTTTTGAGTTATTGCCCTCTGGAGGCTAAACCGTTGACCTGAGGTCAGATCTGAGGACATGTTAGCGAAAGAGCGTTAAAAGAGCTATCGAATGCGCTTTTTCGCGGCGCTGTTGCTCTATCGGTTCCCCGGTTAGCCGTTGGTAGTTTCCAAAATGGTTGAAATAGGCAAAATTTGACCTTTGATGACCTCTGGCGACCTGACCTTTGACCTGACCTAAGAAATGACCGACGTATTTCTATCCTTATTTTTTGTGCTCTTTCGATTGCCGCTACCGCGTGTCTCTACGTGGCCCAGGAGCCGAGTTAGAGGGAGGGGGGGGGGCACTCAGACCACGAGCACGGCGCGGGTTAAAACCAGATCTTTTGTTATCCACCACATTGTCATGTTATGTCGAGCCACTTACTTATGGCGTCATACGTGAATTACTGCACGAACCAAAAATGTCGCAGCGTCGCTGCAACGGTCTTGGTGCCACCGGGTTACTCGCAGGGAAATGAAATACATATTTACGATGTGCCTGTCTCCAAAGTTCCTAAGACTTTTTGCCTATGTTTTTCTTGAAGTTCATTGAAGGCTTAAAGGTCAGATCGGCCACACACAGACACCAATGGGAGAGGGGGATACGGAAACTCCGTGTGTTTATGAAGCGCCGGAAATGATCAAATCGTAGGCACATGTAAATAGGTGCGATTTCATACCCTACTAGCAAGATGCAATGTTTATTACATTACTTTTGCGTTTTGTTATATTTTGTATCGCTAAGGTTTTTTAAGGTAATCTATTTTTTACGTCAACAACTCCCGAACAAAATCCGTTAGTGAAACTAGAAAGGCACCAATGAACTCTGAATGAACTTTCAAACATCATAAAATACAGCCTATGCCCTATACTCCCTCGAACAGCTTCATGACCTGACCCGCATGGCCTGAAACGTCCGCAACGGGGCACACACTTTTTCAAATGTTTTACAGCCTAAGCTTGAAAAGAGGCGAGCCGGACAGGGGTTCGCACCCAACATACCCTCGGCCGTGCGCATGTAAAAAACAAATAGGTCCAGTTAGAGCTAACTCATTCTTGGATTCGTCAAATTAACACCATAGATAAGGCAGCCTTCAATAAGTGTATACCTGTAAATAGTGTCGTTGCCGCACGTCAGGTTCAAGGCCGTTCGTATTTCATTTGCAGTACAAAAACGGCGAGCAGCAGCGTACTCAACGACGCGCTGACTGTCGGCGTCATTCAGGACCCTCGGCCGGCCAGCCCGCGGAGCATCCAGCAGCCTTTCGGCATCATGATGCCGCCTCCACCACCGTTGCACGGTGGTGTAGTGGCATCCGACCACTCTGGCGGCGGCTGCGGCGCTATATCCCTGTTCCATCAGATACACGGCATGCTCTCGGCCGCCCTGGTCCAGCCGCCGATACATCTTGCCTTTCCACTGACTCGAGTCACAGAAAGCACAGCGGTAACAGATGATGCGTCTGGCCGCCCAGTTGACGCCACTTTGACTTCAAAACGATATTCTCAAAACTCACTGCTCAGACCTACTGTCGTTTACGTGTCTGACCCTGAAACGCTACTGGATCAAATTCTAGATCTCCTGGTGTATCTGGTACTGCTGAGGTGACCGAAATACCACGTGACCGGCCTGGCCCGAGGCATAAGCGAGTGACCCAGAACTAGTGATGTCAATTACGGAAAAGCGGAATACCGGTACCAAGCCAAATTCCAACCAAAACCATCGGAAAATACCGAAAACTGATTCTACTTTGGAAGGACAGAGAAATATCGACTTTCTACCAAACATTTTACCTGCCCTTTATACATTAGTGAGGATTTATAATGCAAACAAAATACCAAAAGCATTAGGATTGAAATACCAAATACCAAGTTGGTATCGGTTTGGTATCGGTATACAAAAAAAGTTGGTATGTCCGATTGATATCTCATACCCAGAACACACACCAGCCGTCTTGATACCATGGTTTTGGTGCGACGCCAAATGAAGGCTATTGAAATTAACCTTCGCCGGACTTATTGGTGTTCTACGTTCGCTCCGGCCGAGGGGGAGGGGTACGAACCCCTTGCCGTTTCGCCCCTAATTGAGCTAGTCCTCGCAAAAAAAAAACGAGACTCCTTTTGAAACGCAGCGACTGGCACCGAATTTCAAGGTCTAGGGTCGACCGGTGACGTCTGAGGTCAGATCCAGTGCCCTGAGATACCGGTTTGGTTTTCGGTAACTAACTTCACTAAAAATTGTTGCAGAGCAGCGACTTTAGCTACATCGTAATTCCCAATTGCCCAGACGTGTCGAATGATATACTTATTTACTCACTTGTTTGTTTGCTTGCTTTTATAGCTAACCCGCACCCGGTTGAGCCTCTGAGCCAACTTCGCCATGGTGGGGAGCCTTTTTGGCCACATCCGATTATCTCGGAAAGAAAGCGGGCTAGGAAGACGCGATAGAAAGCAATAGATAGCTCGCTACAAGACCTTTCAGAATCATATAAGTCATTTGGTGATCACATCATCGCTGAGATCAAAGGTGAAATTTTCACGAACTTTTGTTCTCTATTTTGACAACTTTTCACAAATCGTCGCATAAGTCGGGAACCAGTAGAGCTACAGCGCTTCAGAATTAAAGCATTCGATAGCTCTTTCAAAAGCCTTTCTGACTGTTGCTCTGAGATTTGACCTAAACTCAACGGTTTAGCCTCCAGAGGGCAAAAACTTCCAAAATAGCCGTTTTTACGAAAAATTATTTTCTTCCATACCTTTTGATACAAGACAGACACGACTTTACTTTTGCCAACATCATGTTTGCCTTGTCGAGACGCGTCGAATGAAATATAAGTTGACCTGAAAAGGTCAACTTGAAAATTTGACCCCAGGTCAAGGTCACGGAAAAGGTCTTGCTGCATGATATTACGATTCGTATTTTTAACACTCGCACCGACGGGGGTCTGCGCCAACTTCGTACCGACGGGGGGGGGGGCGGATGACCCCCCCCTGAGATCTCGAGAACGAAGCAAGATAGCGACAAGCGGTAAACGGCATCGGATACACACGGACAAGGTCTACAATTTTTACACAGGTCATTTTCTAGGTCAGGTCAAAGATGACGTCACAGGGGTCAAAAAAGTCAAAATGGCGGCGCTAGATATGGAGAGAGTTTTTCTCGAATAACTTTCGAATTAATCAAGATAGGAACAAACTAAGGGCATCATCGTGATTCTCTCGTCAATCCGCATCGAATGATATATATGTTGACCTCGAAAGGTCAAGGTCAAAGGTTGACCTCAGGTCACGTGACCTCGAGGTCATCATGTATATCATTCGATGAGTCTTGACGAGCTGAACACAATGAGATCATCCACGCGGCTGTATCTTGTTCCTGTACGGAGTTATTGGCAAAAAACCGCTGGTGACCTTTGATGACGTCACATGACCTTACGGCTGCCCAACAGCAAAACAGACCTCAAGGTAGTTAAGGTTGATCGTATATGAAGTCATGTATGGTATATGGTGCCATTCCGACCCGTTTTAGTGGTAAAAACAGGAAGTTGATTTTCCCCCCATTGACTTATAATGGGGAGGTCGAGAAATTGACCTGACCTTAGGTCACCGATATCAAAATTCCGAGATATACAAATTGTAGCTACTAATGACCTCATAACATCCTGCGACTTTCAAAGGCCTCCAACATCTACTGTAGCTCTGGCACGGTGACAAAGTTGCAAAAAAGTGACTTGAGGTTGGGTCATTCAAAGTGGTCTGGTGACCTGACCTTTAAAGTTAGGAGGTTCAAACTTGCACACCATGTGTAAAATTGATGAGCAAATAGTCGTACCAAATTTCCTGTTTTTCCGCTATTTGCGAAAAACCTCAGGGGGGCGGATATCCGCCCCTCGTCGGTGCGCGTGTTAAGCTGAACACATTCATGGTGTTTTTTTTTTAGTTTTTTAAGTTTTTTAGAGGCATGGTTACCTAGTGGCCTGATCATACATATGTGACCTGGGGTCAAAATTTTCACACACGATACGAAATTGGTGTAGCATAAGCTATACCAAGGTTCGTGCGCGGTTCTCTTTACAGTACACGCACACAAGACTGGCAGGTGTGTCCAACCCCCCACCCCCACCCGGGCGAAGGTTAATTACTCATACAGTAGCGCGGGAACCGGAGGGAGGGGGCTAGCGGGGGCTGAGCCCCCCAGCTTTTCGGCTGGGGGGCTCGTAATGTATTTTAGCCCCCCCCCCCCCCCAGCTGGAGGAATCGAAATCGGAAATCTGCCAACATAATTTCATAGATTCATGCATAGGCCCGGGAACCGGGGGAGGGGACGGTGGGGGAAGCTTGCCCTCACAACTCTGCGGCCGTGGGGGCGGTGCCCCACAACTTTTCATGAGGCCAGGAAACGTTGGGCAGCTTGTCCTCCCCAAATTAGGGGTTGTGGGTCACAAGGGAAGAAAGCATGTAAGTGAAAAATCCACCTCTTTCACTGGCTCGGCAACTCAGTTGACAGATTAAAACCTTTACTCCAGGTTGCCAAAACGGTAGTTTCTTCACTCAGCTGAGACGGAATACCTAACTTTTTTGCATTTTTTCGTTTTTTTTTTTGTTGTTGTTGAAAAGGCCAAAGTCTGAAAAATAAGTGGCCTAAAACCGCTGAGAAAACTAGATTTGGGGGTACCCTAGGTTGATCTCTATTATGGTTCAGCCCCCCCCCCCCCCCCAGTCTGGAAGAAGTTCCTGCGCCACTGTACTCATATACTTGTTTACTTTTTATATCGATAAAAACGTCTAAAAATGCTTGATGCCTTCATGACCTGAGATAACCTCAGGGGCATAGACAGCGGCCACGGGTGCAATTTTCCAATTTGATGCGTCATGATTACTTGCTACACGATGTTTAAGGGTGATTAGTAACTTTATCTGAGGTAGGATCACTTGACGTGACATGCTGAACTGACCTTGAGCGTTCGGGGTCATACATTTTTACATGTGTAGAAAAATTGCATGAAAAAGTGTTATTTAATACCACCGCCAATTTATTCTATATTTTCAGAAAACCGCAAGGGAGTGTCCACCACGTTCCCCGGCCCGGTGCGGGTTAAGTATGGAAATACTTTTCGATACTTTGCAACTATACTCATAGAAAAGATGTATGTTAAGTTGTGGCCAAAACGTTAGCGCATAGCACCGCCGCTGCTTAGATAAAGATATTCGTGGAAAACACCAGTGCTTTCATCGAGGCGGCGTCGTTGTGACGCAGCAAAATGCGATATTGACACCGCTTCTCCGAGATGCACCGATAGCGCTGTAGCCTTCTCAAATAATTTGAACGACATACCCCTGTTGTTTAGCCACCATTTCGTTCCACCTCCCTAGAGACGAGTGGTGCGTATACGGCGGAGCAGTATGCCCGAGCGCCTGGCACAGGCTGCTCAGAGCCATGACGCTCCACCGACCCGGAGGCGTTTGGCGCGGCTGACCCCAGTGACCTCGCTCCGCAACCCGACTCTCGGTCACGCCACAACCGAGCGGCGCTAGCCTCGACGCAGGGGCACCTGGCTTCATTCATGCTTTCTACAAGAGCGGTGATTGGTTCGCTGCGGAGTCACGTAGTCGGGGCATCAGTGGCGTAATCAGGAATTTAGTTACCGATCTCCTCAACAGATGGCTCTGACCGACGATTTTTAAATACGGGTTGATCAAGAGGTAGATAACAAAAGATGAGTTTGCAGGTGCAAGGATGACGGCACATGTAAGCTACATTCCAAGTTTCATGGTAGTCTGACACATAGTTCCTGAGATACAGATGCGAACTTAAGCCGCTACGTATACCCCACATTACTTCAGCGGTGACCTGTACGATGCTGGTGGGTAACGTTTAACAGAGCCAGGCGCCCTTCCTTCTCAGCCTGAGCGCAGCAGCATACCAGGCCAGCTCTGGATACGATTCCCTCGGCCACACATGTACATACATGCTGTTGCTACCGGGTAACAGGGCCAGGCGCCCTTCCTTCTCAACCTGAGCGCAGCAGCATACCAGGCAAGTCCCGGATACGAGTCCCTCGGCCACACGGCTACCGGGTAAGAGCCAGGCGCCCTTCCTTCTCAGCCTGAGCGCAGCAGCATACCAGGCAAGCCACTCTTCCCTCTCAACCTGAGCGCAGCAGCATACCAGGCAAGCCACTCTTCCCTCTCAACCTGAGCGCAGCAGCATACCAGGCAAGCTGTGAATATTTCTTTGTCTATAGACGGAAGTCTCGGCTCGGCCCGAGCGCCCACACACATGCACCACGCCGGTTACCAACCTCGTCCCCACTCTCTCTCTCTCTCTCTCTCTCTCTCTCTCTCTCTCTCTCTCTCTCTCTCTCTCTCTCTCTCTCTCTCTCTCTCTCTCTCTCTCTCTCTCTCTCTCTCTCTCTCTCTCTCTCTCTCTCTCTCTCTCTCTCTCCCATTCCCTCTCTATCTCCATCAAAACCAGGCCTCTCGTGTGCCTTCGCACTGCCCCGTACCTTGGCTCCGACGCGTCGACAACAGGCCGACATACACGCACATCATACTGAGGGAAACCACTGCCGACGTCAGTCGCACCCACCTGTCATGTCGCTGCAGTCGGTGATGCGGCAAACCTCAGCGTGCACGCAGCTACACGCTTGTAGTAAGGCGCCCGCTAGTGCTATAAGGTCACGGCCACACCTCAGGTATCGGGCGCTGTCACCAACCCACCATCACTGTCACCATAAATAGTTATCAGCACGAACACCAAATGATGACCATTTTCACTCTACGTCCGTCACCATGGCCGTCGCTGCTCACACTGGTCAGCCCCGTCACCGTCTCCCGCGCCCGTCCCTCGTAAACATCGTTCACTCGCTATCCCTACGCACACACCGCCCTCCCCTCTTCCCGCCCCCTCCCATCCCCACTGCGCCCAAACTGACAGTGTCCCCCCTCACACCTGCATACAGTGCCACTATCTCCGTCTCACGTGTCGCCCTGTAGCTATCTCGTGTCGCGCCACTAATCCCACATTAGTGGTGGCAGTTACCGGCGCACGCTCGCCAGACACGGGATCTGTATTAGACGTTCTCGGAAAACACGCGCCGGCGACACGCCACCGGGCCGTAATGACCGACCGCCGGCCCCCGGCACTCGTCTGAGATCACCCGTCTGAGGGAAGCAGCCTTTTCCTCACAGTCGTTTTATATTCATGATACGGATAGTGCAAACGCTCATGCTACAATTATGCTGGCACGCTTGCCCCTTTGCATGCATGCTTCCATACAATGTGTTCATTCTTTTTATACAGCCGAGCAGTCATTTATCATGTGAGCACTACTATAAAGAAATATTTGTTAAATACAGGAGATTCCATGCAAGAAAAATTGGGACCAAATCATAAAATGACAGAGCGAATGAATGCTGCCAGAATTAGACAGTGGTCATGCAAACATCTTATTCACCGCATTCCGGAAGGGCAGACACTGGTGGATCTAGGGGGCATTAGGGGCATCTAACAAAGCATAAAGGGAGGAAATCCAATGAGTTCATTTAAGTCCAAGACATCTTTTGGGGAGCATACTAGAGATGCCACTTTTGAACCCGCGAACCCGCTTTCTGCGGGTTTTCAAAACCCGCAGGGTTTTTGGCGGGTTCGAGAAGCAAAACTTGTCGTGTGGCGGGTATTTGGCGGTCAGACTTAAGAACCTATATTTTTTTTTTTTTTTAGATGCAAAACACAATGCCAAGTGCATTTGCTCAGGTTAGCAATACAATATTCATCAAAACAACTTTTAAAACAGAACCAAATATAGAAATATATCAAGGAAGCACATTTCAAATGCAAAACTGAAAACAACCAGCAATAGCATCCACAGTCTAGCAATGACCAAACCAAGGTATAAGCAACAAACTACAAAGCATAAATAATTGCTGATGAAAGCATTCCATAAAACATAAAAGAACCTGAAAGCAAACTTATAGGAAGCTGAACTGAAGTCTATGTGCAGTGTGCACTAGATATACATTATGGAAGAACCCAGAATCAGAGCAAATGCCACATGCTACTTTATTTGCGTCTGGTCGGCATAAAAAAGAGCTATCAACTAAACAAAATTTGATGCAAATTCATTGATTACCTATCCTATGTTCTGTTCCACCCTATATTACGAAAATAACACACCAATTACCCTTACAAAAAATCAAAATATTGACTGGGCGGCCCAAATATAACGCAATACAATACTGGCGCACTTCCGACATTCTGACAAGGATTGGCATTTGACTGCGTCAATTTTGGTCTCTGAGGCAAAGGAAAGCTGTCATTGATGACGCAATAATTTTACAATCAATTTTTCTGTCTTGGTTTTTTAATACCTCAAAATAGCAGTTATACATGTTACATACAAAACCACGTAGCTGGTCGCATTTATTTCTTTTGTCTTTTTACGTGCTTATCATTTGTATGACGAGAGAGCCGGAGAGCATTACCAAGACCATGTATGAAATTATTACATTTACTTTAGTATTTACTGTCTCTTTATTTCTTAACCCGCGCCCCGTAGGGCTACCGGCGGACCCTACCACCCGTAGGGGGGGGGGCCGTTTCGGCCCCCCCCTAAGATCTCGGAAAGTTACCGGTCGATTTTCAAAATTCAAACGGCGTTCGATAGCCCCACCCGGGAACTACCTTGTGACCAAATTTCATTGACCTAGGTCAAACCGATGACGTCACAGGTCAGGTCAAAGGTCAGATTTTCACCGTTCACAGGCAATTCAAGAAATGTGCTGTGAAAGCAAGTAAATTGGTATTTTATTGAAAACCATCGATGGTACATTGTTCGTCAAACACATACTTTGCTATCTGAGGTCACTGATACCAGGTCAGGTCACAGCGAGGTCAGGTCACCGGGGGTCACAATATGAATGTGTCGTGTGATACATGTTTTATGGTCCATTTTACATGACAAATGCGATTATGTGGGTTAGGCAGCCTTTGGGGCCAGCCTAGGTCACGTTTTTGTGAAGGTCAGGTCAAGGTCAGGTCAAATTAGGTCAAATTTCAAAGTTGATATTTTTGCATAAAATGGGTATCAATTCGATGCAGCTCGTCACGGGGAGTCTAATGGTGGTCTTCGTTTTGCTCTACGAGTTCTAGAATTGCCAAAAATTGAGTTTGAAAATTTGACGTCATCATTTTTGAACAGTTTTTTCGCTATAACTTGGCCAAAAAACGAGGTATCGATCTGAAATTTGGTATGTAGATAGAAGACGGTAGGTACTATCACATATATTCCGGTTTTTTCGAAACTCAAAAAACTTTTTGGATTTTTTGGCGAATATATCCAAAAAAATGCTTTTTTGATTTTTGGGGGTCAAAACTCAAAAATTTCAAAAATTCGAGATAGCAGTTTTGTAGCCCTGTCAATTCTACACCTTTTATGTCTTGATCATTTTTCTGTATCTTCAAAGCTGTAGTCCTGACAGGTCTTCTCGCGAAGGTCTTTTTTCGGTCGAAAATGACAGAACATGACGTCACTCTGACGTCATTTGTGGCCAACCTATCATAGCCTCTGGAAAAATTTTTGGTCACAATGTGTAAAATTAATGCCCGGAGGGGTCCTGAAAGTTTGGTGGCGATATCTCCAGCCGTTTAGGAGATATCGACCGAAAAGGACAGGGGGGGCCGTTTCGGCCCCCCCCCTACGGGGCGCGGGTTAACCGGTTATTAACCTTTAAATGATAAAACTTTAGCTGTTGTGTAAAATAACTTTATCAGAATGGCACATGAATATGCATTATACATCATTGTTTTCGCAACAAGTTCGCACTAACTACGGCCGCAATAATTTAGTCGCTGTAACATTCTTTGCAATCAGCTGTTGGTGACGCTTCTGACGCATGTTTCCAGAAACGCGTGGTTCATTGGTGGTTAGTTGGTTTTTGGTGGGATTTTGCATGATTTGTTTTATGTGTAGATCGACTGGATACTTATTATTCACCGTGTCACTATTTGTTTTTAACTGGAAATCGCATATCTTTTATATCAACATTCATTTTGATAACAATATCATTCCAGAAGCCTAACATTGAGAGGGAGCCAGAGTAAAATGTTGATCCTCAGCCAACGCTGAAGGGTAAGGTGAGAGAAAGATTTTACTGAACTCTTTTCAGAAAGGAATTTCAAATGTATTGATGCATTATTCGTTTTCCACTATCCAGTGTGCACTTCCTAAGGACTTAGCATAGCAATTTCAAGTCCTTACTATTTGTTTGGCTGTCTTTTTCTGCACAGCAATGAAGCAAGTAAGGTTTATATAGCTCTAGCATTGACCCAGCTGTATTTTTTTCTTGCAAAAGCAGGTTTTCAAAATTGCGGGTTTTTTGCGGGTTCGGCTCAGCCAAAATCAGCTTGCGGGTAGTTGTGGTTGGGCAAGGGGTAGCTGCGGGGCGGGGCGGGTAATGAAATTGCAAATTTGTGGCATCTCTAGAGCATACCCCGCAGCGTCTCATACCACTTTTCTGGATCCGCCAGTAGGCAGAGGGCCATTTTGTATATTTACGAGTACGATGGCTGATATTGACACACCAGCGCAGTCAAGGTCTCAAAAATGCAAATGGCATAGTCAAGTATTGGAAAGCATATGTCATTTGAGGGCAGCCCACTTTTTCTGGTCCCGTGACCATGTCACGAGCATGCAGAGTGGAAGAGCGTTCACGAGGGAACCTGGCCCGTAGGCAAAACGCTTCCGCCCGTTACTCGTTCCGGATGCGCGGAAGATGGGAAACTGGTTTCTGGCCCTTGATGGTCCTCATGGATGCACCTCACCGTCTCTTACGAAGAACTCAACTATACAGAGCCGCGGGTTTTGACGTACCAGTCAGCCTGCGCAAAGCCATCACGGATCAACTTGCAGAGTTGACCAGCAGACAGGCAGCCCAGAGGCCTCATTGTGACGTTGGTGTGATCATACTTGCTTTAACCAGACAGGATTCTTGCACAGGTTTTTATTCGAAATCGAAATCGTGTTTACTAATTTGCGCTTCGGTATACTGTTACACTTATCACATAGTACTTACATACTATGTTCAGCGGTACACTAACCACAAAACCGTTTGCAGCATTATCTATGCCATCGGAGCCCACACCCACCGCTTGTTGCACCAAACCACATAGATGGGAGGGGATGTTGAGCGGCCTACAGCTTAGGTGCGCGCGGTGTGAGCAGATCTGCTGTTAGTTCGAACACGGGGCTGTGGTTATTGGGCACAGAAAACGGGGTGTCTGTGCACTGTGCAGGACAGGAACGAGGTGGCCCACAGGCGGGGGCGGGGTCACGGCGGGTGGGGCCGTAATTCAGAAGGTGACACCCGCGTGCAGGGTGGTGGTGCAAATGTGTGCTATAAGCGATGACGAATCCGATTGGTCGCAAGGTCCAGACCCCCCCCCCCCCATTAAATTTTGCTTCCGTAATGCCACCCGATGCATAAAGTGATGCATTTTTGGGTCGGAATTCCCAATCCTGAGAATTTGGCGGAGTCCCTGATCTTAGGTGCTTTACAGTGGTTGTGCAGTTGGTGCGGCTATATACAGGGCTGGGCGAGCTGGGGGAGGGTGGTGAGGAGGGACAGGGCTGGGTGCGGGACAGGGGTGGGTGAGCGGGGGACATAGCTGAAAGCGGGGACAGGGTGGGTGAGCTGCGGTACAGAGATGGTCGATCTGAGCGCCGGCCAGCTCTCGCTAATCTGCAGGTTCAGCAGCGCACACACCGGGTGGGACAATGCCCGGAAAACGCTCTGGGGTGGGACATAAC